TCTGATGCAAAACCAATAATGCCTTGCAGTCTGATGAGAGGATAATTCATTATGAACGCGAGGGAACGTGTCAGACAGGGAGAACGTTCTTTGACAAACCGGCATGGTAAACATATTACGTAGATCGAGGATAGAGACGGCGGTAAATCATACTTTCGACGTTAAGAGGCCGCCTCGTCGTCGTTGGTCGGTTCGTAGGGATTGCGTGAGAGAGTTGCCTCGGGCTGCACTCGCCAAACGAAAATGCGTTTCGCCATGGGAGCTCGCGAAGTTCCCATAACGAACCTTCAGGCTTTTTTCAGGATCGAACTGAACCGACTACGGTTAGTCGATCGTTTGAATATTTCATGCGAACCAGAGTTAAACGAATTAATTCTTCAAGATTGTAAATTGACTAGAACTTTTTCTACTTTTAGATCATGTCAATTCAGTTTTAATCGATTGCAGTTTTATCAGATTACGGATTCGTTGGAAATTTGTAACGTTTTTAGTTTCGTTAGAACGTATTTGAATTCGATGTGTTATAACATTTAGTAAGAATATGCTTAATGAGGAATTTAATTCAGAAATTAGAGAAGACCAAGAGAAAAGAGAAATTAGGTCGTGGCTGGATAGTATAAGCAAGGACATTGGGATCTCGATACGTGCGGCACACTGTTAGGTGCATTTCGCGCCATGGAAATACGAAATAATTTTTCTGCGGGGCCCGTTGCCTCGAGAGGTTGCTTTACGAGCGGCATAAATCACGGCCGTGCACGTGAGTGTGAGTGGGCGGAACCGCACGGTACCACAACCGTACACCATAAATTTGATACATGTTCATTGTGGTGGATGGGTTGGCGAATAGCCAGGGTATTCCTCGCGATCGGTGGCCCGCGAGACTTTTCATTCGCGAAACCCACAAAAATTTCAAGTCGTTTAAATGTCGGTGGAGAAACCTGTTTATCTAACATTATGATTACAAAATTTTCTTTCAACGGAGGTATTTAACTTTCTTGATTGATATTACGGGTCTGAAGATTACGTACAGCGTCGTAAAATAATAAATTGCAATCGTTTAAAATTTTTTAGCCTGAGATACGTTTCTTTTTTTTCAAATTTCTTACAATCTTTCCGTTTTACAAAGTTCGAGAAACAACTACATATCTGGAAAAAGATATTTCGGAAAGATAATTCAGATTGGAAAGAGTTAAAGAAACTTTCGTTCAATCTGAAGCATAAATTTTCGATGAACGGAGAGCTACAGTCTTTCAAAATTATCTGAAACAAAGCTGACGATAAGAAACGCATTACTCGGCTATAGTATTTCAAGGTTAAAAAGAGAATAGAAGAAAACCGATTACCGATCTTCGTATTAATTCTATGTTTCCACCTATACTTTTAATTAACGAGTATTACTCTGGAAGATCAGATTGGTATCAGTCCATCAAAGGGACGAGGCTAACCGGGCGATCGTAGCAGGGGCCATCATCATCACGAAACGTTGAACCCGTGGGCTCTCGAAAGCGGGTGCCATCGATAAGGAAGCGTCCCGTATATCGTTGCTGACAAGCGTTTAAAGCGTAAAGCGTTCATCGGAGTCAAATTACGTTGGCCAAGCGAACGTTCTGTCTTCTGGTTCTTAAAAACCGCGATACGAAGTGGCTGATATATCAAAGCGTATAGTGGCCTGTATGAAGCGTACTGAATGAAGGGCGTAGCACGATCTCTCTCGATCCATTCTTTTGGCTGTTCGAATCTTTTTCGAAAGGGAAGATTGCGCGGCTGGAACGCAAGAAGAGGGGCCCACGAAAGCTTCTCTACCCTCCACCGGTGTGTGTACATTTTCGAGAGAACGGGTCAAGATTGGCTTCGTGCCTGAAAAGTAATTGCGAGATCCGAGATACCACGGCACGGTTGCTACGCAATTTGCCCCTACACCTGGCCTCGTTGCTCCCCGTCATGTTGAAGACGTCCGTAGTCGTCGCGAGAGGCCCGTTTTCGTGAACCATTTCGCGTCTGTTGCCGCTCTTCCACTCGACAAAAATGAAATTGTTTACATCGTTGTCAAGATTAACCGCGTACTGGAAATTATACGCGCGGTCGTTCGCATGCCAATTAAATCGTATAAACGAAATTGGCCCGCGTATAATTGGACGGGATATTGAACGAAAATCGAAAAGCATCTCGCCGGATATTACGTGGAAAACGTATTATATATTTCGTTCGCTGGAGAGATAATTTCGCTCGTGTTTCGTGATCTGGATCGGGTCCTTTTAGCGTGCAAGTGCACTTTAAAAGTCATCTGATAGGATTAGTAGTAACGTTACGCTGGTGAAATGTCGCGATGCCTTGGTACACAGATAAGTATCTCTAGAAGCGCGATTCTCTTTTGCATTCTTAATTGCTTCTTGAGAAATGACATTTGATCTCAAACCGAAAAATATAAAAAGTACGATGATCAAGCGTACCTGCGTTTTTAGTTACGATTACAGGTAAGAAGGATTGTACTCGCTCGTAAAGAAAAATGGAATAATTACACGATATCTGTGCATCGTTAAACAGTCCAGCTGATCACAATGCGTCTCTAGAAGCGCTCACACTTGAATTCTTAATAAGTTCTTAAGAACGGATACCTTTTCGATCATTTCGAGTGGAAAAATGAAAGAATCCGCTACTCGAGCCTGCCATATTTTTAGCTAGAATTACAGGCGAGGAACGCTATATCTTCTCGTAAAAAAATCATTATAGTCATACGATATCTCTGTACGATCGACAAAATCGAGTTAATCACAGCTTCTTGGCCAACAAATCACGAATAACGTCCGTGCTCCACGATCATCAGCATCTTCCATTAAACGCATCGCGTCATCTCCGACAAATCTACGCGAGAGTACTCCCCGATCTTCGCTAACAGGTTCTCGTAGCCAGAGTCACGAGTTAATCTATCAAGCGGAATGGAAGTGCAAAACGAATCCAGCGAGGTTGAGAAAAGAAATTTTCCACAGTTCTATTCGCAACATCCAGCATCCTTCCCTCGCGTTAATTTGTCAGTCGCGTAATAAGCACGCGCGTGTACACGGGGGGCGGAATAAGGAGAGCAGCGAGGGAAAAGGAGAAAACCACTCGTAGCCAGAAGAAGCCAGAAAGAAAGAGTGGGTTCGCGTTATTACGTCGATCAGGAGCGCGAAACATACACGTTTCTACACCCGTACAAGGTGAACACAAAGGAATGCGTCAACGTCAACGCGCCAGCTCTTTCCGGTGATCGCAAACCCGGTATTAGCGAATGGGAGCAGCGATTAAAATTTATGTTGCTGGCAGAAAGGGCCGATGAACGGGGCCACGGGGAAGACAGGGTAGAGTTTGTTGGCTTTACGTGATTGTCGGATCATGGCGCGGTGGCCTGCGCACTGTGTATACGAAGCCCAGCCAACTTTCCCCGTAATCTTCGACTCGTACACAGCCACGAGGATCCACCAGGAGGTGTCCAATTATGCAATAGATCACGGACGGGGCGTTCTCCACCACTTGCAAATGGTTCTACCATACTGGACGATAGCTGAGACGTTTGTTCTTTCTTTATTTGTTTCGCTCGTCTTCTCTTTCCTCCTCTTCTCACCATACTCCATGGAATTCGCGAATAAATCCTTAAGGGCTGACCTTGGATCGCGGGACGCTCGTAAATTTCACCGTAAGGGAATGTCTTCCAGCCGCGCAGCGTAAATTAATCGATCGCAGATAACTCGAGACAGGGCCGTGTTGCTCCACATTCAGAAATTTTCGACGCGCGGTTAATTTATCAATCGGCTCGCTGCTCTCCGCTCCTTTCCTTTCGTATAGACCTTCCTTCACAGTGCCTAAGTGTATTCACGTATACGTGTATGCATCGGGGAGGCTTTGTAAAGAAGAGAGAGAAAGACGGACCGATAGAACTGAACAGGCCTGGTGGAAAGAGAGGGTAACTGTAATCCATACTTCACGTGCGCGCACGATATTTCTCCGTCAGGATACAAGTAACACGGTTCCTTTGATCGCAACACAAATACCACAGTGTAGTTATTACGATACAAATCGAGCGTTGTTATACAAACGAGGGCCGACCGATTTATTTATCATGCTTTACACGTTCAGTCGCATTACACGTTTTGTGCGTTCATCTCTCTTTCTCTCTTTGCCAGTTCTCCAAACGATCATCCAAACGGAATCGCCGGTTTCGCTCGGAAACGGACGTACGTCAAATTACGAGTTTAATGGCCGGGCTCTGGCTATCGTACGTCTTGGTGGGTGGCAAAGACAGGGAGAGAATCGTGCTGGCCATATACAGAAACTCACGGGATCTACCGAGTCACCGAGAGATACCACGGTCGTACCCCGACGATCTTGCGTTCGGTTCTTATACGTGTGACTGTACATACACACGATCGCTAATCACACGATCGTGGACTTCGTTATAGAAACACAGATCCAACCACAGCATCGGCTGTGATCCTTAACGATTATAATTTCGCGAGATTCGTTCATGTCGTGATCGTGAACACGGTTAATCGGTGTGCTACGACAGACGAGAATTTCAAGCGACATAGTTGCTCATACGTTGCTAGGAACAATTAGAGAATCGATTCGGAAGCTTTCTCTTCGTCTTCTTCGAAATAGTTAACTTCACTTTCGAACCTGTCACGCTGGTAGGATTCTTGCAATTACTAGGAATTTTAAAGAAACATCAACTTCGTCGAAGTCGCAATACGAATATGGGTATGGATTATTCTTTTCCGCGAACTCCTTGTAAATACGTAGAAAATACGATTCGTTGCTTCATTCTTCATAAAACGTATTTTCGTCTAACTCGTACGATATACGTGTACGTAAGAGTTCTTTATGATAAGCGTTGAAATAGTTTGGCGAGCCACTGTGCCTCGAACGACGCCCGAACAAGTCTAGTACTCCGATCCCACGTGTTCCCGATAAAATATACGCTAGAGCGCTTGCACGTCGAATCTCATTGAACGGCTATCTTCCAGCAAGGCGGTTCAATTATAGCGGATAAGGTATACAGATTACGGTGGAGGCACGTTATAACACAGACACACACGCAGCGCCCATACCGACATGAGAAATTGTTTCATCGGTCATTGTTTATGTACCCAATTATTGTACCATTCGTTCACCGAGGGTGGCGTATCACTTACAACAAATCAATTTGAAGCACACCTCGCCCCCGGCCCTACCGCCCCTGGAAACATCGTGTCCCGCTGAGCGGACAATGTTTTGTCTCACCCGGTGCAAGACGACCCGCAGTGCCCGAAGCCGAACGCCAGACCACGGATTTCCTTTTCCTCGCTGCACGAACCGGAGTTCGTGACCCTGGGCTTTGTCGCGAAGCCACGCGACAACGCCGCGACAAGATACGACTATGCGAATCTGCCTTTCGCATATCTGTCGTTTATTTTACGTATTTTGGCTGTAATACGTCTTGTAAAACATCGCAGGGAGCTCAGGCCGTTTGACAATGAATTAAGAATGTTCGGAGAATCGATAGGCTTTACGATGGAGTAAGTTGTCTGAATGAGTTATTGATTGAGTATAGTTGTAGCGCTGTAACCGAAAGAATGAAAGAGAAAGAAGGTTAAGCCGGGAGAACGTGCGTACTTCGTCCTAGAACTGCTAACAGATTTATCGGTAAAGCTACTTTACACGTCAACATAGCGAAGGTAATCCCGTGGACGGCTCATGCTTGCAAGTTATGTGTTATTTTACTGGACATTCAGGGCTGTGGAAAAGATTTTAACTTCCTCAATTCTAACGCGTAGTTATAGTTTCGGAATAAATTTAGGAAAAAATTAGCGAAAGATCCAAAACACGAAGAAAACACGGTAATAGTAATAGCTTAGCCAGAGGATGTATATAGTTACAAGAAGTCAAGATTAAATGAATTTTTCAACATACGTATACTAGTCTCTCTAGTGGTGATATGAAAGAACCAGTAGAATAAATTTCATAAATTATACCATTTACGTGATGTAACTAAGCAAACAAAAATAAATTCTGAATTTCCTATTTCAATTTCTATCCCATCAACTGGGAATCTCGAGATCTAACGATAGGTATGTAAACTAGGGAAAATAAATTCTCCTAACAGACTAAAAAAAAAAAAAAAACCAGTACAGCAACGAAAATCGTCTGTCGAAAAATCGAGCAAAACTGCATACAGATATGGATACAGACGTTGCGTTTCATTACGATAAGATCGAATCGAGATCTGGCTAGCATATCCGCGCGTACCCAAACGTAATTAAACGTCCCACGTATTCCCGCGAAAGGTAGGAAACTTTTCGGTTCGGCTAGTAAAGGCGAGGAAGAGAAGATACGGCGTTTAATCGTCGGCAATTAAATTTCATTAGCCGGGAACATTCCTCGTTCCAATCAACGCCACTTTCCACGCAGGGAATAATCACGATGCTGATAGAAGGGGAAAGGCCAGGGGACGCCATTCCTTCGCATCGATCGTAAACCACCTTCTCTCTTCTTATCTGAAGTGACCGTTTCGTCGGTTGAAAGCACGTCGCGTTTCGTTACGCGTCAGAGAATCTGACTAGCCAACAACGGTACTCCGTTAAGCAGTATAAAGTTCATTAATGAACCGCTCATCGGGTTTGTTAATGAGCCAACACCTATATCGTGCTCCACACGGTCGATTCTCGTGTCGTTCGGTCGTTTCGAACCGGTCAAACACAGATTAGAAGTCTGTTAGATGGCTGACGCGTATCGCCGTGTAATCGACTAACAACCAAGCAGATGAACATCATCCATTGAAATTAACCTTCCATTAATTCTCGGAAAGCAGAATGGTGATTCTTGGCTGGTAAAAGCGTCGGTTTTCTTTATCGAAGTGAATTTAGTGCGTTGTCACTAACGATCTAACGAGGATCGTATTCTCCGATTTATGCTATTCTACTTATTCGTTATTAAAGTGAATTCACTTGAATTCCTTGACCGAGAATTGCTCGCGTTTAATTCGAATAAAAGAAGGAAACAGATTTTCAAAGAATATTTAAAAAAACGAGGGAGAATATTCTCTATGAAAATTAATTGTAGTTAGTCGAATTAGAAAAAAAGAGAAAAATAAATGATCGAATTGAATCGAATGATTCAATACTCGATAAAAAATTGAAAGAACGTCAAACTCACTAGATACTTGAGAGAATATATCAAATCAAATATACGTATATACAGTCGAAAGTGAGTGTAGACCTTAAAAAAATGAGATTTGCGTAATACACATCGTTTTATTTAAAGTGTTAGGTAGATGATACATTTACACTGTACATGTGAATGTGTGTGTAAGCGTCAGAGGACGTCCAGGTCTTAGTTGAGACAAAAGACTATTGATAGCTGTTAGAAGCATCTAGAATAGTCTGTTTGACAATAAGAATGCGTGTAAGAAGGTTATCGAGGTCTTCAGAGTGTAATATATATGTATAGATGTTGTGTGCGAATAAAGCAATTAATTTATTATACCTTAACAATAAGTTTACCTGTGTTCTTTTTGCCATTAATTTGTATTCTTACATATCCTTTATTTTCGATGCAACATATATATAATAATTTTTCAATAAATTTTGTGCCTTCAAGGTGCACACTCACTTTCTACTCTCACTGTACACTTTCCACCTTCCTCAGAAACTATGGAATCGTAGGTTGAAGTTAGAATAGTCGCAATTAATGGCTAAGTTAATAAGAATTTAGTACACCTGTAAGAGACAGGTTTTTTTCAACGGCTGTGCGTCCACACCGGCGATGTTACGCTTCTTGCCACGCGTGTAAGTACGCGGATCCTCCGTTTCCGTTTGGTTCTCGCGCCACGCGGCGTTAAAGTCTGTATTTAAGTGGCGTCTCCCTCGCCGAGATAAGGCTTTAATGGCCTTAATGATCATGCGTGCGCAAGGACACGTCGTGACTTTCCTTCTTTACGAGGACCTGACAGTTTTTTCAGGATACTCGTTTTCTTTCCGCTGTCCGCGAATCCAACTTTGTCAACTTATGTGACCGTTTCGACGCAATTGCGTCCATTCCGCGTTAAACATTTTTTTATGCAAATGACCGAAGAATTTTCATCGAATGTGAAATAAAAATTTCTTTTGGCATTTAGAATTTGTCTTCTTGCGTTCTTAATATATATGTATTATTGTATGATCGAGGTTTTCAGTTATCCCAGAAATCCGAACCTTAACACTAGAACTACCGATAGTTAACACGAAGAAATTTTTACTAAAACTAGCCAAATTGATTGGTCTTTGAAAAATACGTAATAATAGAATATTTTTATATTTATTGATTTACTAATTTCTTACGGAAAGAATTCCATGTTATGTAGTACATTTTTGATATTATTAATCTATCCCGGACCATGATCCCTAAACGAGAATTGACACATTTATAAAATTGTAGAACTAGTCAATTTGACTGGTGTGGTAGTTCCAGTGTCAATGTTAGAAAAACGTTAAGTTACTCTCAAGGAATAATTATATACAGTTACACTTTCAGGATTTTTATCTGACCCTCTTTTATTTTAGCTTCCTTACTTTCTCTTTCATTATTTTTCGAGAAATAAAAATATTCATTTATTCATGAAATTGAACGTAATATGTATAAGTATATAACTGTGCTAATTCGTATTATGTGTTGCTTATTATATGTATTAATCATATAAAATTTATTAACAAAACGACAAGAATTTGCGTTAATTTGTCTCTCAAATACATAAGAATATATCCCCGGATATTCTTCTATCGCATGAAAATTTTCAGACGAGGATGTAAATAACGAAGCTTGACATTTCCGATATTAATAATGCGAATCGTGATTTAATCAGAAGATCTGTTATCGCCAAGGGGTGAACAGACTGTAGAAGGAATCGAATCCTCATTCTTCGTCAAGGACTGTTTATTATATCGTAGCCTGGGGCACCGACAATAAAATAATTAACGAGGATCACGCTGTGAGGTTTCGCGAATCGATCACAAAACACTGGCTCAAAGGTAACCCGTGTTTTTCGTTGTTCACGCCGAAGGGCTTGCTACGACTAATTAGCATGATAATTAAGCGGCGCCGACGTTTTTAAGGATTCTTTCTCGCTCGCCTCTTCTCGCTCCAGAGGTCAACTTCCCATTGCCTTCATGGCCCTCCAATACACGATCCTCTTCGCACCGAGATAAAAATACTCTCTAAAGTCGTTAAAAATACTCGTCCAACGTTACTTACCTATCTTGGAAAGGAGAATTTTCGTTAAAATTATTATGTTGTAACCCTTGCGTTTTATACATCGCGAAAAAAAATTTCTGTACCATAAACTAAAATTTAGAAGAATTTCTTCGTATAATTAAATTTCGTTTTTATAACCTACTACGGTATCAATATCAAAAAGAATAAACAGCATTAAAAATGAAAAGATATAATCATCCAAATACACGAAAGTGTCAGAAACATTAAAGCGAAGGATCACATATATTTTATTCAAGTAACGTGTTAATTCGTTTTAACAATCCCTCGAATACATATTTCTTTTTTCTTATGGAACCCCCATATCAGGATTTCTAAATTTAAAGCTACTTTACGTTGCTCGGTAAAACAAATAATCTCCACTGTAACAATAAGAAAAAGACACGATTAAAGATTGGTACCCATTGTCATCCAAACACATTAAACCATCAAAAACGCAGGAGTAAACGATCACTCTTTATTCGAACAAGGTGCTAACTCATCTTAACGACGCTTAAGCACTTGCTGCTCTTATCAAACTCCAAATTGAATCCACCCACGTTCCCATCGCCTCCACCGTTCTCCGTCATTACCTTCCCTTTTCTTCGAACCTGAGCGCGATACATTTCGCGGCGTTAAAAAACGGATAAGCGATTCTTCGAAGGATCTTTACTCGCTGGCCAAGACTGTTCGTATCTCTGTGCGATTAATTTTTTCGTTCGGTAGAGCGCGCGGACAGTCTCGATTGTGCTTCTTTGTCCATAAACGTCCGGTGGGCAGATCGTAACTTTTACAACGCGCGTGGCAGAAACCGGAGAACAACGTCATAATTTCCGATACGTTGGTCGACCACAACGATGAAGCCATTAATTGGTACATTAATTCAGGAATCGCGGAACGGCGAGCTACCACGCGGACAGAAACCCATAGAATTACGTGTCAGACATCTCGCGAACCCTCTGCCCCCGCGATTCAAGGGACAATGTCTCCTTTAACGAAGCTCATTAATTAAAAACATCGAGAGTCGCCGCTCTTTTCAACGTCCACGCACCTTGCCGGCTACTCAACGCAATTTATCTACATCAAACCATCTTTTTCTTCTGTTTCAACGCGATCGTCGTTATTATGTTTCACCCTTTCTGTTCGCACGTCCCACATGCGCGCATATTCATTTCTTGCCTCGCATTGTTTAAAGAGAGAATAGATTAGAAGAGAAACAGCGCTGTCTTATTGCATGACAGTATCGAACTTCCTCCAAGAGAAGTTTCTCGTATTTCGTGAAAAAATGAGAGTCCTAATTCGATCGATTAATTTGTCAAAATATGATCAATATGTCAAGCGTTGAATTTGCATTCAACGTAGCATCGAAGCAGTTACGTAGAATCTTTATTCCGAAAAATTGTTAGAAGAAACTGAAATTTCTATTGGTCGTGTTTGACAATTTTTCCCGTAACGTTTGAACGGAGAATAGATTAGAAGAGAAACGGGACTAGCTTAGCTGCATCGGGGTACTGAACTTTCTCCGAGAGAATTTTACGTGTCAGTGGAATACGATTTGCTGTAATGCAGATTCTTGGTTGTTTTAATGTGTGATATATGTAAGAGATTGGAGTTCTAAAAGGGTGTGACAACGAGGAAATTATTGCGCTAGATTAGATATCCATTTCGACAAAATTTTGCACTAGAATTTCTATTTTAACGGTGTTTGATAAGCTCCAGATAGATTTAAGATAGCCTTGTTTCAGGTTTATAAACGTATGCATCTATTATCGAAGAGAATATTTCACGATAATAGAGACACGCGATTAATTAACATAACTAACAGGGAAGCGAATTTACTATCGAGGCACGATAATGCTTTTGTACACGAGTGGAAGGAACGAGTTGTTAAAAGTCGAAAGAAAGGTCGAGGAAGAAGAAACAACTAACGGGTGACCGAAAACGTTTCGTTCTGAAAAGCCGTAACCGGAGAATGGCCATGAAGGGTACAGAGCATCGGCAATTTGTGAGTCGAAATTCTTTTCACGGCGAGAAACAAAAAGGAGTTAATTCGAGCCTTTAAAACCTCGGGGACGTTCCCGTTCCCACGTCTCCCGGCTGGACCGCGACCCCGGCACGCGAACTCACCGCCAGAAAATCATAATCTCTTCCTCATATCGCGGCGTGCATCGACCAAAATCGCCAAACAACAATCGATCGTCCATTGTAATTTGCCGATTACTCGAACCATATCGTTGATATTCGAATCGCAACTAATCGAACACGCCCAACGTTCACCTCATCGACGGTACTTGTTCAGATAGTTTGGTTTTAGATCGTTTAAAAAAGTAAAAGAACTTAAATCTCACTCAAGCTGTGTGATAAGAAACTTATCTATCCTTTAGTTATCTAAGTTATTAGAAAGTTATCTATCCTTTAGTGCACTTACGATAGGTATAAATGCATGTTGTAATTAAAAAACAAAGTTGATCTTATTAATCGCGTGTGTTAGAAGGAAAGGTGGATTGCACTGTGTTCTGAAGATATTACGAAGGCACGTGTTGAAAATTATCAAATGTCCTGTGACTTACGAATGGAATTGTACGTAGAAGGAAGACATTCCTACATCCAAATACCCTTTAATAAACGAGAGGACAGAAAAGTGTGAGTAGATAGGTTTGATGGATGTTCCTAAGAGAGAATCAAGCACGTTCGAGGGAAGCAATCGTCGGGAATCTTGTCGACGCAAGAAGAGATTCACGGGCTGTTAAGAAGGTGGTCGCGCTCGCTTGTAGGTTGGCAGTTCTTCTATTAAGGCAGGTCGCGAAGCCGCTGTAAATCAAGGATCTCCGCGTAAAAGTCCCCAGAGTTATTGCGCCACCTCGCACCGCTGTAATACGGGTACCCATGTAATACCGCGGCTGTTTTATTTCATAACTAGACGTTCCTACCGAAGATCACGCGTTGGAATATAAAGAAGTGAAAGGAAGAAGGGGACGTTCGTGATCTCGCGTGTCCCGTTTCTTCGTCCCGTAACTTGTAAATAATATTTCCGTCGTTGTCCTCGAGTCGATCTCGCTAATTTACACGTCAAGCTGGATTAACGAGTCTCTAATTGGCTAGATCGATCAAGATGATAATTA